CACATAGCCAACAGGATGACTGGAGTCCCCAAGATGTCAAAAAAATAAAAATATGAAAGGAAAAAAAGGCCAGAAAGTATGTATAAAATCATTAAATAAAAAACAAAAAACAAAAAGCATAAAACAAAAAACACCAAATCATGAAAAAGGCAGAGTTGAAATAAAAATAGAATTAAAATTAAAATACAAGCACTAAAATTAAAAATTTATTGTATCACGATGCCTGGTTGGCTCAGTCAGTTAAGCATCTAACTTTGGCTCAGGTCATGATCTTGCAGTTCGCTGGTTTGAGCCTCTCATGGGGCCCTGTGCTGACAGCTCAGAGCCTGGAGCTTGGTTCAAATTCTGCCCCTCCTCTCACGCCCTGTCTCTCTCTCTCTCTCAAAAATAAATAAACATTAAAAAATTAAATTAAAAATAATAATTATTGAATCAGCCAAACAACAGATTAGACGCAGAAAGAATTAATGAATTGAATGTGAGACCTTGAGATATAGCCCAGAATGCAGCACAGGGAGAAAAATAACCTTTTCTTCCAATTTCATTGCAAAACTAAAAACCAATGGAGGAGAACTTCCAAATATACCTACCATCCTCTCTGCCCATTTATGCCACTGGACCCACGTACTCTCCAGCATCAGCTACATAATTTGGGGAGCCTAGTAGCAAAAGGAAACTGTGGATAAGTTGATTGGAAGCTCAGATGGTGATAGAAAAAAAAAAAAGAAAAGAAAAGAAAAGAAAAAGAAAAAGACAGTGACACCAGAGGATTAAACTCAGCACGGAAGCCTTCTTAGTGCAGTGCCCTGCATGACTGTAACAGTAGCCCTGCCATGAACCCAGCCTTTAACTCAGCCTTTACTTCTGCCTTTCTTGATGAGCTGCTTGTCTCTGAGTGAAGCCCAGTACATCTCCCAGGTCACTAAATTCCAACTCCTCTTAGTTATTCAAGCTTACTCTTCCCAAATGAATTTATTAATTCAACCAGTCAACAGTAACTGTTTTCAAAGAAATCGGCACACCAATATTAAACTTCATATGGGAGATGTAAAGGGTAAAAAAAATAGCTGAAAGAACTTTGAAATGTTTGGAACAGAAGATGAAAATAAAGATTTCAGGCTAAAGATTTAAAAGTAAAATTTTAGAAGAAAATGTAGAATAATATATTCATCATGCAATGATATGCAGAATTTTTAAAAATATTATTTTAAAAGCACAAACCATTAAGGAAAAGGTTTATATATTTACCTGCCTCAATATTAATCCTTATGTGACAAAAACACAAACACAAACAAAAACCACCCGCTCTAAGCAAACCAGAAACACAACATACATGTCTGGAGAAGGCATCTCTAACTCATATAACCAGTAAAAATATTTCCCAAACTATATTTATGAAATATTTCTTATTTAAATAAAAATAAAACAGAACAGAAAGCCTAGTATTTAAAGAGTCAAAGGATATGAATAGGCATTTCTCAGATGAATAAACCAATAAATATAAACATTTCCTTACAAGAAATCTAAGAAGTAAAAACAAAATCAACAGTAAGATGGCATTTCTTAAATATCAGTATATCAGAAATTTAAAATTCTGACAACACTTTTTGGCAAGCAGGTGGAGAAATAAGTAGTCTTATATAGTGCTGTGAGATCAATATAGCAAAACTCTGCATAACTGAAAACCTGCTTATTTTACAATGCAGCAATTCCACTTTCACATATCTATCCAGAACATACACTTAGATCCCTACAAGGTGCCATGTGTAAGAATGTTCACTGAAGCAAAAACAAGTGAAAGCAAGCTAATCAGACTAACTGCACCTAAGTATAGAAATGAAAAAAAGACTGCCTTTTCAAAAAATAAGTAGAATACTAAACCATTGTAAAAGCGAAAGAAGTAGATCTATAAATGTAAATACATATATATTTCAAAAAAGTAATTATATGCGAAAAAAACGGTAGTTGCAAAAGAAGTAGAGTAATATACTATTTATGTTTTTTTTTTTTTTTAAACACTTGGGGGCAGCGGGGCTGTGGTGCCTGCCTGGCCCAGTCAGAAAAGCATGAGACTCTTGATCTTGGGGTTGTGAGTTCAAGCTTCATGCTGGGTAGGGAGATTACTTTAAAAAAATTGGATGAATTATTTGTGTAAAAATCATACATAGTAATATACAACATCATAAATGAAAAATATTTACCCCAGCTTCATGATATTGAGTACTTCTTAAGAGGAAGAGAGACTGTGGAGTGGACTGGAAAATGAACTTGGGTCCTTATTGATTATGAGTGGTAAATGCTGTCCACAAAACATGAATAGAACAAGCATCAGGAGAAATGTTTCAATATGGAAAACAGCCCCCTAACCCATGTGCCATAAAAGAATGTTAATACTCACTGAAGATTATTTCCATGCTTAGTGACATGTAAATAATGAAGCCTGAAATGTTACACTAAATCAAATGCATATCAGTTGTGATCCACTTTTATGAAAGGAGAGGTACACTCCCTGACTTTAAGGTAAAGATGAAAAATCTAGATTGATCTTGTCACTTATGCATTTCATTACTTAACTTTTTGTGAGAGGATGAAAACCAAATTTTGTCATACTTTCATTGTTTACTCTATGGTTTTAATGAATGTCACCTGGATTCTGAATGACTTCAATGTCAAAAGAGGAAAAATGACTATTGTCAGAAGAGTGGAAATAAATACTCTTCTCAGTCCAGATGAGTTTTTCAAAGGTGCCCCACTTTCTAAACTTTCAAATGAATAACTAATATATGGATCTGACACAATCCTAATAGAACTCTGGAAAAAAAATCATGCCATGAAAATACCATCTCCAGAATTGGTTTTGCTTTTTTTCTGTTTAATTTTTTAATGTTTTATTTATTTCCGAGAGAGAGACAGAGAGACAGAGAGAGAGAGAATGAGCGAGCGAGCAGGGGAAGGTCAGTGAGAGAGGGAGATACAGAATCTGAAACGGGCTCCAGGCTCTGAGCTGGCTGTCAGCACAGAGCCCGACGTAGGGCTCAAACCCACAAACCATGAGATCATGACCTGAGCTGAAGTCAGATGCTTAACCGACTGAGCCACCCAGGCGCCCCTGGTTTTGCTTTAATGGAACTGAATTTACAAGTACAGTACTTCTAATTGGCTTTGCTTTTCTGTGCATGCAAAATGGACAACACCTGTTTATCACTATGTTTCCATGGGGATATAGAGGTTGTGGTTTTATGATTGCTCATTACATGTTAAGGTACCAATTAGTCAACCTTATTCTGCTTACTTACTAGAATACCTCTCTAGCTTGAAACAAAACTTAATTTAAATTTATCTTTTCCTTGTTCCTTCTTCTTATTCTATTCATTAAATTTTGAGAACACTATTGCCTGCATTAACATTTTTCTATTACTCTTCTGCTTCCTTTTGCCCCTCAAACATTTTCCCCAAAGTCAGAACTTTTCTTCAAGTCTTCTGATAAATCCCTTTGCAATTATGACTTTGTCCTACCAAAACTACATGGTTAATTCAGTCAACATTTGTCAACAGGAAAATTGAGAGAGTTTGTGCCATTACATGGCCAAAAGCTATGTCATATGCCTGAATATTTCCCCTTTGATCAAAAATGCACTAAAATATAAGTTTGAAGAGAGCATTTGATTTGCTCACTGCTATAGTCCCAATAGTGGCATGTAATAGGTGGTCAATAAATAGCTGATAAATGGATTATTCAGAAACATCTCTGTTTATATTATGGTGAAGTAGAAAGCAACAAGGCATTAATGATCGCCATATGTTAAATATTAAATGTTATTAATCAACTTAGTTATTAATATCTTAGCAACTTAGCATAAGATATTTTCTATCCTACTTAGACAAAGATACTTCTTAAAGATAAAATTGTAAGATATGTTATAAAGCTGTAATTTTTATAGGGCTGAAAGTTGGCAAAATACCATGGCATATCAACTGAATTTGTACTGTGCATATTTGGGTATTCGGTTAGTTGGCCAGTGATGCTTTGGATGAATAACAAACTAATACACATCCATAAGTATTTATATATTTATTCAATACCACTGATCTTTCTTGCCTTCATTTCACCAAAATTACTAATTATGTTCTAATCAACATATTGGCAGTTTTGCTCTACTTTAAGTATATTCAATTTCAAATATTTTGTCAAATGTAACTTAAATCTAAACATTTAAAACTTTATATTTTCAAAAAGATTTTTCTTCTAGAGCATTGAATATTATTTATTAAAATAAATGTACAGGGGCGCCTGGGTGGCTTAGTCGGTTAAGCGACCGACTTTCGCTTAGGTCATGATCTCACGGTTCGTGGGCTCGGGCCCGCATCGGGCTCTGTGCTGACTGCCAGCTCAGAGCCTGGAGCCTGTTTCAGTCTGTGACTCCCTCTCTCTCTGACCTTCCCCTGCTCACGCTGTCTCTCTCTCTCTCTTTCCTAGAAATAAATAAAACATTAAAAAATAAAATAAAATAAAATAAATGTACAAAGTGAAAAATTTTCATAAATATCAAAATGTAAAATAACAATTTGCAGGACTGAAATTTTAATAGGATTTTTTGAAAATATGACAACCTCACTAAATGTTTAAAAGTAAATTAATTGTCAGCAGTTCTGGTTTTTAGAGTTAATCTAGTTGCCAATGAAAATATTATTATTATACTTCACATTACATACAGACCTACATAATAACAAATTTCATACTTATATGAATTATTTAACATACCAGACACTTTCTCACACTCCATGTGCAACTGGGCATACCCCACAAATCTGTGTGTTCCTCCAGAAACGGGTGCTGGAATCAAATGAGAGGCCGGAGAAGCCAGTACTACTGTGAAAATAATACATTCTGAGATCTATTCCATTCTTGCTACCTGAAAGAATGGATTTGACAAAGTAATTATTTTTGATTTTGTATCTTAGCTGAGAACACCTACCGCTAAAATCATCTCTGTGTGCAGGAGCAGAAAAATGGGATAGCTTACAATTGGAGAAGTCAGCAGATAATACCTTGACTAAATGATCAACGTGAACATCCATCATCAGTAATGAGACAAACCAAATCACTTGCCCCTGATGGAATGAAATGAGAAAAAAACAGCCTCACTTATGTAATAGTCCAAGAAGAAATGCATAACCTAAATTAATTATGGGGAAATATGAGACAAAACTAATTAAGGACATTCTAAACTTGCCTGTAAATCTCGAAGTGTCAATAAAAAGCCATGGTATGAAAGATGCCTTATATCTTCATTTATGTGCTCATATGAAATTAACTCTAAGACATATGTTTAAAATTTTTTTAAAAAGTTGGAGAACTGTACCTCAATTTTGATAAAAAAGTTATATACATATATAATTTTTAGAATGACAAAGAAACATTTAATAGTGGCCACCTCTGGAAGTGGAATCAGGTGGAGAGAGAAAGATATTTATTTTCTACTTCTACTCCCACTTTTCTATACTGTATGATTTATTTTGAAACTTAACCGACATTTATTTTTTTAAATTTTTAATAATTTTTAAAATTTCTATGACTATTGTAAGTTTGTTTTTGAGTCAGAAAATGGAAACTATTATCAGGGAAAAAATATATTGTTTTCAATTTAGTCAGCACAAGACTGATCATGGGTCATGGTACCTGAGGTGTCATTCTGTCCTTAATCATTAACTAGCTATGGCTGTTAGGCAAAGCACTTCAATTCTTGTAGATTTACTCATCTTTATAGATGAGATTTATAGGTGAAATTTCTTGTAATTATAACCTTAAATACTCTTAAGAATATATTAAGACACTTAACATATTGTCAACAGAGGGCAGTAATTAACCACAAATAGTCCCATGTTTTCCATAAGGAAGAAATAAATCCTGTTCCTAGAATTTGAAGGAAGATACTATTCAGAGTACCACTGTTTTCCTTGCTATTTCTGAAATTTTGATTATATTCTGATTTTCTCCCATTCAAATAAATACTCCAAAGCAACTTCAGTCTTTGCATTAGGAAGATAAGACACTTTGGCTCAGGTAATGATTTCATGGTTCATGGCTGTGAACCCTGTGTTGGGCTCTGTACGTGCTTCAGATTTTGTGTGTGTGTGTCTCTCTCTCTGCCTCTCCCCTGCTTGTGCTCTTTCTCTCTCTCTCAAAAATAAAAAAAAAAATTAAAAAATAAAAAAATTTAAAATAAATAAATATTTTTATTTAAAACTAAAAAATAAAAAAAAATTTTAAAAAGGAAAATGCAACACTAAAGATAAAAGAGGGAAGAATATAAGGTGAGTTTCATGATGATAAGGTAAGGCCTTGTTGACAGGAATCAGAATGTCATTTACTCTGCCTTCTAATCATTTGTGTGGTGTGTGTCAATACAGTAGTGCCCACTGGAAAGATCACCGACAAAGGATTACTACAGATTTGGATTTTAAACTATCCAAGGCTACTTACTGTCTGTAAGTGTTAAATTCTGGCCAATTGAATGAAACTTTACAAGGCTCATATTTCTTCACCAAAATAAAAACACCACTTTAGAGGATTGTTTAAGGATTAAAATAATTATTTATAAAAGGTATAAGAAAATACACATATATTTGCTCAACATTTATTAATATCATCATTATTATTATTGTTGCTATTATATTATCATACAAATCTCCTTGTTTTAGTATAACTTAGTCTGATAGAGGAAATACTGTAGTCTATCCTTAAACATATATATGTATGTACAAATAAATATATATAAATAGGTATTGTAAAACCTTGGATTGCAAGTTACTTGTCCTGTGAGTGTTCCACAAGACAAGCAAATATTTCTAATAAATTTTAACTTAATAAATGAGCAATGTCTTGCAATGGGAGCATTACATAACACCGAATGTCACATGATCTCATCTGAGCCAAAAGTGATTGAAATTCTCTTTGACATACAAGTCCTTTGGATTACAGCATGTTTCTGGAATGAATTATGCTTATTAACCAAAGTTTTACTGTGTGTGTGTGTGTGTGTGTGTGTGTGTGTGTGTGTGTGTATTCCTTTAACATGTATATATCCCTTTAACAGATAACTTATATTTTGTTTTTAATGGACCAAATTTTAGGAATTTGGTACATGTTTTAGTAATTAAAAATAAACATCAGTTTACCCTTTACCTCAATTTTAAACCTTTTAAGAGAGAAAAATGTGGGAAGAACTTTTGTTGTTTATAAATCAACAAAAATATGCACACTAAAAATGTAAAAAATGATTAAAGAATATAAATAGCACTTCACAAAAGAAAAAATAAAAATGATGGGGTACCTGGGTGGTTCAGCTGGTTAAGCATCTCTTAGTTTCCACTCAGGTCATTAGTTTCTGTCACAGTGTGAGGGTTCTATGCCGTGTCGGGCTCTGCACTGACAATGCAGAGCCTGCTTTGGATTCTCCCACTGTCTCTGACTTTTCTTTCTCTCTCTCAAAAATAAATAAATAAACATTTAAGAAAAAAGAATATTTAATAAGAATATGAACATTCAACTTCACTGTTACTCAACAGACTGAAAATTAAAATTTTTGCATGTTTTGTCTATAAATCAGAAAAAAAAACTTTTTAGAGGTACCCTTGAGGGAACTGGTATATGAGGACTTTCATAAGCATGAATTTCAATTGGTTAAATATTTATTTAAAAATATAACTTTAATCCTGACATTCTATTCTAAAAGTTTTAGAAATTAATCAAGATGTGAAATGAATAAAAATCTGTCTTTACTTTCCAGATATTGAAGTCATTTAAAACCTCTATAAGATACATTTATAAAAGTTTGTATAAATTAAAGAAATAGAATTTTACATGAAACTCTTGGAATAACTTCTTTCTAATCCCAATTTTCAAAGAAGACATTTTATAAGGTGAGCCTTTCTTTTGTTCTCTGTAATCCTGTCATCATTAGTCACATCAGTTTATTGTTCTAAAATGAAGGTTTCAGGAAGACAAGGGCTTTACCTGTCTAGTTCTTTACTGTTTCCTTAGACCCTAGAACATAGACTGTCATATAGTTAGTGCTCAATAAATGTGTCCATGTTGTGCATGTACGTGCTGTTTTATTTGACACTTTGAAATTTTCCCTAAAAAGTTTGTAAGTCAAAATATTTTAATAAAAATATATAAACTTATGATAAATAACTTTAAATTTCTGCAAAATGTTTATCTGTTAGCAATACTTTTATGAGCTTCTTACAAGCTCTGTCTTGTATCATTAGACAAAGGGAGACCATCATAAAAAATTAGTGAATCATTTTTCTTCAGAATCCCAAATGACACTGAGCAGTATGCTTTTTTGGGGTTCCTTTTAGAAAATATTAGTGAAAACACAAATATATACTTAATAAAGTGATAAAATAAAAATAGTTTTTGTTTAAATAAAATAAATATTTTGAATGAAACATTATTATCCAAATAATTTCACGTAAGACACATAGAAATTTAAGTGATCAGGATAAAATTAGCAATAAAATAGCAATTAGACTAATTTTACTCTGACGAACTTGAACTCAGGCCTAAGCCTTATTTTTAAATAGACTTACCAAAGTTTTGTACATTTTCTCCTCTACCTAAAGCATAACAACCCTATCCGGCCATTATAACTTTTTCTAATACTGTGACAACCTAAAAGAAATATTATCAGATAAGCATCTCTGCAGTTTTTTATTCCATCCTGTTACAATCCAAGAAAAGAATCCTAGTTCCTGGGAGAGAGAGAGAGACACACACACAGAGGGAGCGTGAGTGTGAGTGGGGAGGGGCAGGGAGAGAGAGAGAGAGAGAGAGAGAAAGGGAATCCCAAGCAGGCTCTGCCTGGTCAGCACAGAGCCTGATGAGGGGCTCGAACTCACTAACTGTTGAGATCATGATCTGAGCCAAAATCAGGACTTAGAAGCTCAATCAACTTAGCCACCTAGGCATCCCTATATAAATAAAGTTTTATTTGAGTTTGGTCTTTTCTAAACTTTTCTTATTTTCTATAGTTAATAGATACTTTTATTTCATTAGGTATTTTACCAGTGTTTTATTTTATTTGAAATGAAAACCATTTGAAAGAATGTCCACTTTCTATATTTAGATGAACTTTGTGGAGAAGCCACTTGACTGGCCCAAAGCTTACAGAGTATAATTTCAGAGAAAGAATATGGGACATACTATCCGTCGGTTCAGGATCAGGCAGCTGTGTAGAACCCCAAAAAACAATTAGGTTGGCCAGCATTGGGCTCCTGGTAGAACAATGGTTCTAACACAAAGATTTTGCCCTCCAGGGGATATTACAAATGTCTGGAGACATTTTTAGTTGTCACCATTAAGAGGAAATTGCTACTGGCATCTGATATATAAAGACCAGTGATGTTGCTACAATGCACAGGAAAGCCCACTGCAACAAAGAACTCTCTGTCCCAAAATGTCAACAGCGGAAAGGTTGAGAACTTGGGATAAATATAAAATGTAACTGCTGAGAAGGCCAATAAATTGGGAGAAAATGGTCATGAGTTACGATGGCTATGCTATTACCTTTTTGCAGAAACCGAAACCTTCTCATAATGGCATTCTGTACTTATCTGAAAGAATGACTAAGAGTCTAAGAACCTGGGTTTCCCTCAGTTTAGTTGATCTTTGTGTGGAGAGCTGAGATTACAATCAAAGAAAGCATGAAGATGGTTGGCTCTTGTCTTGTGTTCTGAAATTCAGGGCAAGATCACATTATCTAATCAGCCAGGCTCTCTGAAGGCAGGATCTATGATGAGACTGTGTGCTTTTCCTAGTGCTGCATTGTACTTGTTCCAAGATTTATACTTTGATGTTGTAAGACTTAAAATGGTGTCGAGATTGCATGTCAAGAATCGTATCACAGCTTTTAATTTATTAGTCACACAGTTCATAGTAAAGTTGATTCTTCCATCTATAAAGAGTAAAGTAGTACCAAAAGAACTTTATTTATTTTCATCACAAAAAAAAGAAAATGGAGGCAAAAAGAAGGCCCTTGTTAGAGTAAAATTCTAAAGTTATTTGTTGCCCTGTGAGCATGAGAGAACCAGCCAGAGTGCTATGTTAAAATTCACACATCTTGTCAAGGTTAGTCACCTCTTTTGTGAGAAAGAGATTGTTATATTAGCACCTATCAGATATCAATTCTATGAAGCTGGTAGTGAAGTTAGCTAGGAGACTTTTGTTTTTGCCTTTCATGTACACTGACTTTGAAAATTACATTATAA